TTGTCTATAATGATATGTTGAACCAACTGTTCATCTGGTTATTTAAAAGAGAAAGAGCTAAATATTCATACCTTGGGTCGTATGTACACAGCTGATCTTGATTGCCTTAGCTCCTGGCAGGCCTTAATTGTGGCAGGGCAAATTGTGGAGAGCTGTAACGGTATAACTTCTCAGTGGCTGTTCATTTGGCACAGTGTAAATTCCCTGTCCTGCAGCTGTGGGAATTCATCTCTAATTGTTTTCATGAATTCCTCCTCTGCCATTGTCTATGCTATAACCAACACTTTCTGTGTTACCCCAGCTGCAAATGATGGAAAAATGTTTAGCAAAAAAACATAAATATTTGTTTTGCATGTCCTGCACACTAACTGAATCTGGTCTAGTTAAACTAACTTCATCCTATTTCATTTATTTGTAAAAGGCATGTGTGCTCCTCAGATTAATTATAAACAAGGTCATGTGACAGAATCAATGTCTAGTAAGTAAATGTATGAAAATATATATATATATAAGTCTATAATATGTGGAGACCAGTCTGTGGAAATCATGATTATCCAGAGATTCTGCCTAGAACCCCCCACAACACCTAACCGCCTAACACATTGGATAATACCTACTTCATTACACAATCGCATAATCAGAAAAACAGCACATCTCTGATTTAAACAATATTATTAACAATGTTGATTGATAAAAACGGTTCAAAATGTTATATTAAAACTGCACTTATGCCTTGGTATATATAGCAAGTCCTCTCCATTGGGAATGAATCCAATTCTGATCCTAACAAGACAAACTCTCTGAGATCGCTGTCTCGTAAATGTTTGCTGTCCTCTTTTGAACATGCTCAGTCTTACTCAGAACAAAAGTGACTCACAAATGAAATAACTGGCCAAAACTGGTTTCTGACAGTTTTCACAAATCATTAAATGAATACATTTGATTTAGGAAAGGGTTAACTGAAGGGTTAACTGAACTCATCTGTGAAAGTTTTCAAAAAACCAGAAAAGCAGTGACTCAAAGAAGGGATAACTGACCAAAACTGATTTGTGAATGATTTCATAAATAATTGAAGTGGTGTACATGGGTCATGACTGGGTTAAATGGTTAAAACTGATCGGTTAGAGTTTTCTCAAACATATCCAAGTGGTGTACATGGGTCAGGGAAGAGTTAACCCACAAAACTGCATGCAGGAATCTATTATAGATTATTCTCTTAATCTGAATATTGTTTGGAACCAGCTTTTGGAACAACTACCATGATATAATTAAATAAATAAGGCAGAACATTGAAAAACAATGAAACTGACTAAAATGGATTGTGAACCGCAGTTAAGATAGTTTGTGATTTCAATCAGATTTAATTTGCCTATAAATAAACAGTGTGCCGCCATGCAATATGGAATGCTGTTGCATATTCTCTATGATTTGTGAATCGTGATGAAGTTTTTTGAAAAAAGGAAATTTATTGTATAATTATATTACATGTAAGAGTCTATATACCTGGTTTCTTTAAAGTGGACTTAGCTGGCCACATATTACATCTTTTACATGCAAGTTCATGATTTCCTATGGAGGCGCGCGAATTGCCCTCTTATATTGGGAGCAACGTGCTTGTGTATTCCAGAAACTACAATAGACAATTTTCGAAGGTCTGTTCAAACTGTCTCTATATGCCAGGGGTCAGGAGAGAAATGAGTGGACTTGGTGAAATAGGGTGGACCGCTTAAACTAAGTTTAGTGAGTTTCTTATATCTATGATCTCTGATAACATATAATTGAGTGACATTTTTGAGTATCCAACCCTCGTTTTGCAAAAATAAATTGCAGAAATGTTTTGAGAATCTGAAATCATTCACTTTGTAACAAGGCTAATAGAAAACTGACATCGTCATTTAGCAATAAATATATAAATATAAGCATAACATATTCTGATACTGAATTTATTTGTTCTTTATTAAGCTAGAAAGAACAAAAAGACAATGAAAATATGACAAGATCTAGGTGTTTATTGCTTTATCGTGTTGTTTGGTAAACGTACTGGCAACCACACACAGTGAGCATTGACTAGCTTGAGATGTGTGAGATATGTGAAGAGTTTCATTGTAAAACGAGATATCCATTTTGAGAAATGTTGGTTATTTGACTTTATTATTTAAGATATCAACAGTTAAGTTTGTTCACAATTTTTATACATTAAACCAGGGGTGTCCAAACTTTTTGGGCGGAGGGCCAGATGCAAAAAAAAAAAAAAAAAAAAAAACTTTTCCCGGGCCAAATTTTACACACATATATATATATATATATATATATGAAGATGTGTGAAGGTGCTGTAGTGCTGTCCTATATCTTGGGGGTAAATTTTGAAGCCCTTTCCCTTCATATTCTGTTTGAAGAGGTAGGTGTATAAAAACACAATTGATTGTCAGGTGTGTGTCTAATTTGACTCAGGTAAGGAAAGAGAAAGCAGGCAGAAAAGGAATGGTGCGTTCACACCAGACGCGGAACGCGCGTCAAGTGCGAGTGATTTACATGTTAAGTCAATGCAAACACGCGAATAGACATCCTGCGGCGCGATACGCGCAAATGCCGCGGAGCAAATTAAGTGAATGGCACAGTGCGAATAGCGCGATACGCATTGAGCGTTTTGTGCGTTTGACGGCTGAAAAATGGAAAATCACGAAAAATCATGAAAAATGAAAAATCACGAAAAATCATGAAAATTGGAAAAATCGAGAAAGTTATGAAAAAAAATCATGAAAAATCTTTAAAAATCATGAAAAATTTCAAAAAATGCCGAAAAAACATGAAATATGGAAAATCTTGAAAAATCACCAAAAATCATGAAAAATGGAAAAATCCTGAAAAATCATGAAATATGTAAAAATCTCGAAAAATGCAAAAATCTCGAAAAATCACAAAAAAAATTAATAAATCTCGAAAACCCTTAAAAAATCATGAAAAATGAAAAAATCTTGGAAAAAAAAAAAAATCACCAAAAATCATGAAAAATGAATTAAAAAAAAAATCACTAAAAATCATGAAAAATGAAAAAATCTTGAAAAATCACCAAAAATCATGAAAAATGATTTTTTTTTTTAAAAAAATTAAAAATCATAAAAAATATTTATATATTTATATATATAACGCTGAACGCAGCGTTTTTGTGATTTATTATACATAAAACTAAATAGAGCAACAAAATCAACAAACAAATGTCTAGGGGAAAATAAAGAAAATAACTACTTTACTACACAAATAAATAATGCTAAACAAAACCATAAGGTTGCAGAAATCAAGAGATGGTCTTTACACGAGGACGCCCCGTAGCCACACCGTCCTCCAGAAGCTAACACACAATTGCTTTTATATGGTTTGGGCCAATTAGTGAACAACCAGGCACCCAATCAGGATCTGCCACATCCATACTGAAATCCTGGGGTCGTCACACCTGGGTTCAATCCTCACCTAAATCTTATAATCCTTACGTACATTGGTGAGCCACCCAAGAACGCTAAAGCCAAATACAGCAAAATCTAATGTATTTCTGCTTATTATTAACCGATAACCATATTTATGCACATTTGCAAATAGTTTATTAATTTACCAATCAAATGGTCAGCTCATCAGCTCAAGTAGTTTGTTATTTTAGATATAGACAGGCGGCGAGTGCAAGCAGTACAGCGAAACCGCTCGCGCATCAAACTGGCTCGTAAAAAAACGACGGAGCACAGGGTAGATCTGCTCTTCTTTTTGGCATTGTGGCTGTTCATCAAGGCGACGACAAGGTTTGTTTGAGCGCAGGTTGACCATGGCTCATTATTATGTGTATATATAGTTCCGGTGTAATCTCTTGGCTTTGTATTATAAGCATGGCGGCTCTTTTTTTTTCATTCTGGCTTGTTGTGTAAGCGAATGACGTATCTCTGTAAACCAATAGCGTTTAGCTGCTCGTCTAGCTCCGCCTTTTGGTACCCTTTCTCATGTTTGGTACCCTTTTGAATGGTTGCCGAAAAAGTGGTACGGTTCGGTTCAGTATGCCTTTTGACAGGGGAAACGGCCATAAAATCGTACCAAACCGAACCACTCAGTGTAAATGGGCCACTAGCTATCTGTTCATTCAAAAGATTATTTATATGCAATACATATTGTACTGCTCATGTGCACTGATATTGTGTGCTGTCTGTAAGTAGTGTGTGTGTGAAGTTTAAAATTTTAGGTTTATATTTTTAAGATAAATAATTTTAGAGTAATATGTTATTTAATTATTAACATTCTGATTGTTTATATTATATATTTCTAACCAGCAATGTTATGTGGGCAAAATATAAACTAAAAGAGTTTATTAATCACAATGTCATGCTTAGATACTAAATATAACTTTTATGTTTTTTTTTTAATAAATGTTCAAAAAATTTACAAAGTAGGCCTTTTATGTATAAACAAGCATAACATACTACAATTACAACAATAGGCAGACACAAATATAGGAAAAAAGCCAAGTACACCTATCTGCAGCCCCGCCCACCTGTAATTTCATTGGTTAGTGGAGACGTAATAACGTCGATGCCACTACGTCGTGTCAGTAAACAGGAAATGCATTTACAACTTCTTAAAAATTGTTTTATTGTTAATAAAATACACAAAAGCGGTTATTCCTGCTAAATGTTTCAATGGTAATTATAAATATTATCTAATCATGAATTTTATCAATAAAGAAAACAGTTAGGTGAATTTCATTAGTATTTTTCCAGCAAAAATATAACTTCTTAAAAAGGATTCCTGAAAGATTACACTTACAGAAGTTAACTAGTTTTACTTTTGCAGAAGTACTGGTGATAATTGTTTTTTGGCCACATTTAATTTTTCTACAAATACCACGATTGAACTATGATTAGTGCTGCCTAATATATGTGTGTGTGTGTACACAGATGTACAGCAGTAAGACTGACAAGTTACCAAGAAAATAATAATAATTTAAGATTAAAAAATTAAGCGTTTTTTTGATTGTCTTTAATAAACAAAAACAATTAAACATTTTCATAGGGGAATTCCCCTCCAGCATTAAAGTGGCACTCTGCTAAGCAGTATCCTGGGAAGTCGATGGTGGAGTAGAATCCTCGCAGGACTCCTTTCCTGCCATCCCCAACATACCCAGGTGGGCAGTCTTTAAAAATGTCCCCACATTTAGGGCATTCGGTCAAGGAACATGGCACTCTGAACTCTTTTTTGTAGTCCTCAGAAAACCTACTCCAGTTGATGACACCTGAATAAAAATCAAGTACATTTAGCAAGACACAAACATAATTCAAAGTTTAACTAATAATACAGGACTGTTAAAAGTGTTTGACAAACTCTTTATTCTTTATCATGTGTACACACAGACAGACGGACAGAGATGAATAGAAACAAATATGGAATATGCCAAGCACTTTCCTTAGTCACTATTAAGATTTGTTTATAAATAACTTACTGTCCAGCCAAATGTAGTGAGCCTGCTCCCTGAACTTAGCATCGCTAACAATTTCTTTGTAGATCCTGCTCGTCAAGGAGAGGCGCAGGAAAGCCACATCACCATCCTCTGTGATGACCTTCAAAAGAATTTGCTGCAGGATCTCAGGAGGCATCTGAACAAAAATAGCCGACAATATGGCCAAATTGCTGCTTAACATATGCATATTAAAATAAAACTCAGAGTTAAAGATATTTCTATTAGGCATACCTTGGTCAGATAATCGTCAATTGGGATGGGGTCGATTGCCTCTAAATGAACAAAAAAAATTTAAAAACATCCTATTCCTGCTAATTGTAGCATTAAAAATACCAGTGTAAAGCCTACTTGCTCTCTGCGTTCTCATTCCTTTCCTGAGGCTTTTTCTTTCAGCATCTGACCAAAAAATGTTTTTAAAATAAAAAACTAAGATTAATGTAAAAACGTTATGCATTTTTCAGTAAAAAAAAAAAAAATAATAAGTTTTATGTAAAATTGCTAGGCTAAAGGTTCACTGATAAACTGAAAACATTTTACATTCAGAAGACCCAACTTACTTCAAAGGGTAGTTTGTCAGCAAAACTATGCAACACCAGTGTCTTAGCACTTGCATGTCAGACTGGAAAATAAAGAACAGATAAACTAATGCCAAGTAATAATAACAACAATAAAACCCTAGAAAACAAAGAACATCAATGAACATATAAAAATAGATAAATCTGAACAAATAGGAAAAAAGTGGAAAAAAAAAAAAAAAAAGGGAATATGTGGTTAAAAACAGAACTATCATTATCCCGAACTCTGAACTTTTCACTCATAAACCTGTAACTGCTCAAGTAGCGTGTATCACTGAAGCCTTGTTCAGAGAGGGAATCAGGCCAATAGATCTCCCTTTTTTTGGCTTCATGATCTATGACAGTGCAACTTTAACATTACATTTCATGAACTGAATCCTTTTCAGGTTTTATATCTAAAATAAGTGAAACACTTTGATATATTCCATTCATTTTTGCCAGATTTTCCTTAAACAAAATCATAAGAATTTTTAAAGAAATGTAGTATTTACAACACAAACACTAAATGACTTATTCTACACTGCCTCAGTTACAAAATCACACAATAACACTCACAGGAACATTAGACAGTGGGTCACCACACATTGGAGGCAACCAAGTCACTGTCACATATGCACTGAACAAATGGACTGTTATACCCTGTTAAGTGAAAATAAATTAAAATACAATTAAACAAGCAGATACAATCTTTTACATTAAATAAAGAGCTTTTTGGTCTAGGTCCTTCTTTGCATTACCTGAAGGCCAGCAACATCCTTTATTACAGAAAGGCAAGCATTCAAAATCTGTAATCATTCAAGGATAAATTTATTCTACTACTTGGGTTAAGGTATTGATATACCAAAATGTGTTTGCAGAATCTTACTGTCGCCTCTACATCTTGAAGTAGTCCCAATGTTTGGAAATACAACCTGGTGAGGACTGTGCCTCCAACAGATGCTAGGAATTCATCTTTTGGCCCTCTCTCCAGTAAGGCATGGTTTAACTATGAAAAGAACATACTATAATATACTGCAATACAATATCTTTCTCACTGTTCATCTTTATGCATTTTAGTTAAAGTATGTTTAATGATCGTCTAATGAATCAACATGTTTCATGATATATAAATCTAACCTTCTCCAGCTGGACTGGACTGGGTGGCTGTGTCCAGCATGCCTTGTTTGGTTGCACACATTCCAGAGTGAAAATACTCCCAGTGGAAGTTTGAACAGTCACTACAAAATATATAAAATTTAAATAATTAGCAACAACACCCCATTTAAAATGACAACCAATATGAAAGAAAAATATAAACAATTTAAATTCTTACAGTTGTTGTGTTGGTTCACTAAGGATCTCTTATCAGTCTTAACAGAGGGTGGAGGTGTGCCTTTAGATTGAAAAACAGTTGATGCATTATGTATAAAAGGTAATACTCTTACAACAACAAGTGGAAGAAGGAGGGCATCAAAGGAGAAAGAACGAGAAGAGAAGGAAGTGTGACGGCCTGAAAGGTTGGCCGCACAGTTCTGTGTAACAGCGTGCGTATTTACACACACACACACACACACACACACACACACACACACACACACACAACCACACATACACACACATACACACACGCAACCATGCAAACATATTCACAGTTATGCAGACATGACATTTCATTTTATAGTTTCTTTCTCCATATCTATTATACAAATCACAATACACATTAGTTTCTTTCTTGTGCTTTATTTATAGAAACTATAAATTTTTGTTACTACTAAATTAATTTGGAGTGCACACAAATTAGTTTCGTTGTATGATTAATGTTTGTTTCTTTTGGGTTACCGAGTGGTGCGCTGGAGACAGAAAGTGGTGGCCGGGTGGCTTCCGGTGCGGCAAAGATTGGAGTCCGGGCGGGAACGCCGGATTTATGCAAAATGGTTCCGCCCGGGCAAACCAACCGCTTGAATAATGCAGGGGGAGAAGTTATTGTAGATATCCTCTTTGATCAAATATTTATGTTCTGATTTTGTTCATTTGTTTATATTGGTTAATGTTTGATTTTATTATTTTTGTGGTAATGTTGTTATTGCATTTATTTTGTTTTTGTGATGTATGTAGTAATATGAATTTTTGTCTTTATCCCTTTGTAATTTAAATGAGCTCATCCTTTTCTTTATAAGCCTGGCTGTTCTTCATTGGCTGTTTCTCAATATGCGTTCTTCAGCGGTCTTGCGTCCTCGTGTTCTCGTGCAACGTCATCATCAGCTGCCTAAGTTCAGTTCCAATACTCAAGACCGCAAGTACGGAGGACGCGTAAAACTTCCCGGATGTGTTCTTGATATCGAGGACGCACCGATGCAGACTTCAGCAGCGAGCTCGCTCTGGAAGTCCCAGAAGTCATTGCAACAGGAGGTGGGAATTGCAGCATTTTATTTAGATTTATTATTAAAGTTCAGAGATATTACTTATTTACCTCAGGAGTTTCCCTAAATGAAGCGGTGAAAGTAAACATTAACATGAACATCTTAATAAAGGAATAAACACATTAAGGGTGTTTGTTTGATGAAATTCGTATTAAAATGTGTTTTATTTATATTGTGCAGAGTATATTTATAATGCTTTTATGCAAAGTATATATTTTGAAGAGGGGGGAAACAATAAATCGTTGTATGAAGGCTGTAATGTTTAAATAATTTCCATTTAAAACGCATGAAGGTCACATGACCATCAGGAAGAACGCAGCATCCCATTTCTCAAAGGACGCATTCTCTGCCCTCGCGGTCTCCTGAGTTCGTTCTTCCGAGGACACCTGGCAAGACCGCACTCTACAAGAACGCAAGTCCATTCTCTTCGTTCTTGGAATTGAGAAACAGCCATTGTAGCAGGTCAACACTAAATCAAGGAAGAAATAGGAAGGAAGAGGTGTGGTTATCAAGATTAAGATTGGGACACACAGGGTTAAATGCAACACTTGCGTTAATGGGTTTACATGAGGATGGGAAATGTGATGTATGTGGTGTAACTGAAAATGTAGATCATGCATTATTTATATGTAGCAAGTATAATAAACATCGCGATATGTTATTCAGTCAGTGTGGGGAAGATAAAACAATATATAAAATTATTCTAGGAAAAGGTATAATAGATTGGCAAGTATTTAGAGCGTTTATTAGGTATATCGAGTATTCGGGTTTAGGTTATAGATTATAGTCTAATAATTATGGGTGAGAGTATACTCAATCATTATCATGAAGGCCCTTTATGTTAGAGGAGCTGAACACGCAGCGCTGACATGAGTATGTGGTCTAGATGCAAAGATTGGAGAATATGAAACATCCAAGTTTTTTTTTTTTTGTCCCTTTCCCTCCCTCCTCGTTTCTTTCTGTTGCCCTTTCTAATATTCAGACCCATCATCGGAGTAAGATTCTGTACAGTAGGTGGCGATAATGCTTTTTAATGAGTTAGTCGCCATAAAACAGAAAGAAGAAGAAGAAGAAGAATTGTAGCAGGTCATTTTGTGTTGGTTGGTTATGTTGGCCTCATGTTCCTTTACTTTCTTTTTTGTTAAATTATATTAATTTGAGGACTTATGTCCTATTTGTTGAGAATAAATCTCAAGTGGAGGATTTTTGGCTTGTGTTCTGTTTCCTTTGACCCTCGGTCCCTTACAGATGGTGTCAGAAGAAGTGGGATGTTGAGTTTGGTTTAGAACACAAGCCAGTCTATTTGCCCCTCGTGGCAGTTTTTTTTGTCTTCCCCCTTTATTCATTATGAGTCGTGTAACCAAGAAAAAGAACCCATCTCTGCATCAAGGAGAAGATAATGATGAAGAGGAAGTCCAAGTGGTGGCTGAAGAGGCTGTTGGAGGAAAGCCAGCAGGGGTAACTGAAGTTTCAGTGGCTGAACTTGCAAGCTTACTAAGAGCACACATGGCCAGGACAGAGTGCTGTGAGATGGACAGACAGAGGAAGTATGTGAATCAGGAGCGACGCTTTAAAGCTCTCCAGCACCAATTTAGTTTGCTACAGATGGAGGTTCAAGCCCGCACTTCTCCAACCACTCATCTGCTTGATGATGATCAAGAGGCCTCAGGATGGTCTGATGCAAACCCGCTAAATTCAGATGGGCTGCCAGTGACTCAGGTACGTCAGAATAATTCTGATCAAACTGTGGATAACATAGTCCTGCCCCCCTCTCTAGTGCCTAGGCTGGAAAAGTTAAATGAGACTGACGATGTGGAGCACTTTCTAGTCACCTTTCAACAGATTGCTGTTGCTTGTAGATGGAACAGGAGTGACTGGGTCTGGCACCTGATTCCACTGTTGACTGGTAAGGCCAGAGCAGCCTATGTTAATATGGAAGTGACAGAGTCAGCTGATTATGATAAAGTTAAGTCTGCTATTCTGAAGAAAAATGACATCAATGTTGAAACATATCGACAAAGGTTTCGTTCTCTGGCTGTTAATCCATCCGAAAGTCCAAAGGAGCTTTATAGCCGTCTTAAAGAGCTGTTTACTAAATGGATTCAACCTAAGGGGAAGACTGTAGAAGAGGTGAGTGAAGCTATTATACTTGAACAGTACCTCAGAATACTCTCCCCTGAACTGCAGGTGTGGATAAGGGAACGTGACCCTGGATCTGCTTCGGAGGCAGCGTCATGGGCTGATGTGTTTGTGGCAGCTAGAGGAAGGAGTAAGCCTTGGACATTTAAGTCTGGTGGTGAGAATTGCTCTATTAGTATGGGGCAGGGCCGACAGAAGACAGAGGGACAAGGTAAACCTTACTTTGGTAAAGCACCTGGCAATTTGAGTCTGACGTCAAGACGGCCGCCAATATGCCATATGTGTGGGCAAGAAGGGCACATCAAACCAAATTGTCAAAAGAATTCTGTACAGTCTATGCATCTGTGTTTTGTCCCCAAGAAAAACCCTATCCCAGCTGATTCAACCGCTTTAAGGATGACTGTTGTGGAGTCGGATGGTAAACTCTTGTCTGCTTTAATAGATACTGGCAGTGATCAGACTCTGATGGACAGGAGATTTGTGCCACCGGCTTTGATCGACCAGAGAAATCAGCTGCCCATTCGTTGTGTGCATGGAGATGAGAGGTTGCTGCCCACAGCCAGTATCAGTATGAAGGTAAAAGGGCAAGCATATGTGCTGAAGGTGGGTGTGTCTGACAGCTTACCTTTTCCAATAATTCTGGGTCGTGATCTACCTGTATTATTTGAATTGTTGCATCCAGCACAGGAGTGTAATATGGTAGTCACCCGATCAATGGCGAAACCAAATGAAGAACATGTGCATACATTGAGTACATTACCTTTCTTTGAGACCGAAATAGAGACTGGCGTGGCAGAGAAGAGAAAGACAAGGAGGGAGAAGATCAGAGAAAAGGTAAAACACAATGCCTTTAAACCTGTCTCATGTCATTTGCCTGTTGACTTCCAGTTGCCAATAGATATCATCCAGATGCAACAGAGTGATATCAGCCTGAAAGAGTGTTTGAGTAGATCTGTAGATGCTGAGGAGGAGGAGGAGAAACCTGAGGATGACAAGACTGTGACGTTTGTGAGGATCAAGGGGATACTTTATCGCCAGATTGGGCCACGGAGACAGTTGGTGGTTCCGCAGTGTGTTCGAGAGGTTGTATTACATCTGAGCCACTCTGTTCCTTGGGCTGGCCACCTGGGGAAGAATAAGACCATTGCTTGAATCAAAAGGTATTTCTATTGGCCTGGCTTGGAAGGAGATGTAGCCCAGTTCTGCAAAAGTTGTCCTGTCTGCCAAAAAGTCTCACTCCAGAGTCCTAGGAAAGCACTGCTACAACCCCTTCCTATTATCACCACCCCATTTGAAAGGCTTGGGATGGATGTTGTCGGACCTCTTGAAAAGAGTCGATCAGGTAACCGGTTCATGTTGGTGATAACTGATTATGCCACAAGATACCCAGAGGTATTTCCCTTAAGGTTTGTGAAAGCTAAATCTATTGCTACTTCACTGGTCCAGTTATTCTCCAGAGTGGGTTTCCCCATGGAAATCTTAACTGACCAGGGTACCAATTTTATGTCAACACTGCTAAAACAGGTTTACCGGCTTCTGGGCATTAAGAGCATACAAACTACCCCTTATCATCCTCAAACTGATGGGTTGACTGAACGATTCAATCAGACGTTGAAATAGATGCTCAGGAAATTTGTAACTGAGACCGGCCAGGATTGGGACCAGTGGCTGCCCTATCTTCTATTTGCTTATAGAGAAGTTCCCCAATCTTCTACAGGCTTCTCTCCCTTTGAGTTGCTATACGGTCGTGATGTTCGGGGCCCACTGGCTCTGCTCAAAGAGGTATGGGAAGACAGTCCTGATCAGAAAGAGCCCAATAATGTTGTCTC